CGGCAGCTCCAATCCCAGTTGAAGGTCTGTCTTAATCATTTCTCAAGTAAATGTAGTCTATCAGCCAGCTGGGGCTCTCTTTTGCAATCTTCTCAATGATTATCACCTTATATTAAAAGGTGGCAGTTTTATTTGGAAGTATCATGTGTTGTTATTTTTCTGTCTTCAAGGGCTGCAGAGAATGCAAAGCATTGTGCAGTGAAAGTAACAGTGAGATAGAGCTAAAATTGTTGGTGTTTTTTTTTCCTGTGGGGAATGTGTTTCTCCCCTCAGACTGGATTTATTAGCTAGAAACTTAATGCACTCTTAAGAACGTTATTTCAGTCCCATAAGCTAAGTGCAATAGAAAGTCAGTGGTTTGTCATGAGGCAATAGGATTTTGGGACACTGATGCTGAAAATCTTTATGTGGCTCATGAGTTGCAGGTTGCTCATCCTCTTTCTTTGTGTTCACTATAGGAAATCATTGTTTGCCATCTTTAACGGTTCTTTGAGTTTTGCAAAACAACTGTTTTATTTTTGCTTGTGTTAAAACTGAATTCTCCTGATATGATCCATAGGACCTGCAGATTGAACTGGATGACACTCTACGCTATAATGATGATCTGAAAGAGCAGGCAGGTGCCTTGGAGAGGCGTAACAACCTATTGCTGGCTGAAGTGGAAGAGCTGCGGGCATCCTTGGAACAGGCAGAACGTGGAAGGAAATTGGCTGAACAGGAGCTTATAGATGCAACAGAAAGAGTCAATTTATTACACACCCAGGTGAGCCGGAGAATATATTTTCAAGCAGGGACAGCAACTCTTGGCATCAATTCAAGATCGGAAGCAAAAGTGAGAGCATGGTTTTCATGGTTTATTGTTCTCTTCCCAAATAGAATACAAGCCTAATTAATCAGAAGAAGAAGATGGAGGCAGACATTTCGCAGCTGAGCACTGAAGTGGAAGAGGCAGTGCAGGAATGTCGAAATGCTGAAGAGAAGGCTAAAAAAGCCATCACTGATGTAAGGGGCCTAAGGAGCAGGGGTGGGAATATTGTAAGGGCTACATTGATTTTTCATATAGGTCTTTACTGGTGTGGCAGTTTCCTTCCCCGGTGTTTCCCAGAATTATTTTCTATGGAGCTTAATAGAAAATACACAATGAAAATAGGTATTTATGAGTAGTTATCAGTGCTTTTTTTGTAAAAAAAAAAAAAAAAAGGCGCTGGAACTCACACACATCATACAACCTGCCTTGCCTACCCTTCAAGGTTCCATCCAAAAAAGGTGCCGGAACTCCATTCTGGGCGTTCTATGACAAAAAAGCCCTGAGTAGCACTCAGTGTTTTGCAATATCTAATACTTGACAGCAGGATCAGTACTACTGACATTGGAAGCCAGCTTATTTCAAGCTAGTGCCCTCCAGATACATTAATTGTAATTCTCATAATCAATCACAGTAGCTAGTTTTAATGCTACATAAATGTTTTTTTGGCTGTTGTCCCTAACAGGCAGCCATGATGGCAGAGGAACTGAAGAAAGAACAAGATACAAGTGCCCATCTGGAGCGGATGAAAAAAAATATGGAACAGACCATCAAAGACCTACAAATGAGGCTGGATGAAGCTGAGCAAATTGCTCTTAAAGGGGGCAAGAAGCAGATTCAGAAACTGGAAGCCAGGGTTAGTATTTAAGAGAACATCTACTTTTTCTGGCAAAGACCTAATTTTCTTGTGGATTATGTTGCCAATAGTTCCAGTAAAGTAGAGAGATGATGGGTAAGTAAAAGTTTGAATTCAGTGAGGTCTGAAACCATTTAAAATTAAATGAAATCATGTGTACAAGGCTCTGTTGTAGAGGCAATAATCCATCATCATGTTATAGTCCACTAATATCTATGTAGATTTCTAGTGTTTTGTGAAGCATGACAACCAATATAGTTTTTTTGTTTTCTGAGCCAAGTAAGAAGGAAAAAGAACTTAACTGTGCTGTTCGGTCTTATTCAGGTACGAGAACTAGAAGGTGACTTGGATATAGAACAAAAGAAGAATGCAGAGAGTCAGAAGGGCATTCGCAAGTACGAGCGAAGAGTTAAAGAACTGACTTATCAGGTACATGCTTCATCATCTTCATGTTGATTCCTCAGATCCATGTTCATTAACACATAGAGTGAAACCAACAAAAGCATAGGGGAAGCTGTCAACGCTGCTAATATTGGATATTATTGCTTTGACAAGATATGCAGAACTGTCTGGTATTTTTAGAGTTAATTCAGATGATGGGGGGGGGGAGGAGAAAGATAAGGACTGCACAGAAGCCAACGGAAATGAATCTTTGCCCTCCAGGTGGATTGGAAGATGTGAATGAAGACTGCAAAATAGGGGAGGGGAATAGCCTGGAATGTTATGTGCAAAGGAAGGGAAATTCAGATCTTGGCATCCATCCATGCTGTGCCGACACTGTGTACATATGTTTAAAGACTTTTTAGAATAAACAATGTCTGAAAGTTCTTTGAAGTGTTCCATTAGTCGGAACTTTGACAGGAGCATTATACAAAAGTGAAACTTTTCTTTTTGCCTGCAGATCTCCCACCATTTTAGCAGTAATTCAGGAGATAGCAAACCCTAAGATTGTTTCATTTGGAGTGAGAGCAAGAAGTATTGTCCTCTGTTTAATGTGGATTTGTGATTTTATTCCAGTTTTATTCCAAAACTGATTGGCATATCATATCTTCATCACTTTGGCTACATGATTATCAATTGGATTACATAGCAAACAAGCTTTTAAAGCTATTGACCAAAATAGTCAACAAGCTGAACCTAAGCTTCAGTAAATAGTACAAGAAATCAAGATTTAGGCTAGAGATCTTTCACAACATTCTCTTATTGTATCCCCAAATCAAACTGTATTATCCCCATGTCACTTTCTCCAGTACATTTCTATCAATTAAAGGAAAGCTTGATAATAGGAATCAAATTTGAATACTTTGCTCAAAATGGGCACCTACTGTATGTATCTATAGATAAATCAGGAAGGGGGAGGACATATTTCCAAAAAGTAAAAGAGCGCTTCAGAAGTTTCTTCTGTGGAATATGAGTAGAATCTCAGTTTAGCTGCCCAGTTAGAAGAAAGGCATGTCTATTAAATCCAACCATGTTAGTTATGTTAAATCCAAATGTACATCCTTTGAATCAATTTGTGTAATTACATAACTGATGTAAATGACATCACTTGCAATAAAACAAAACTTCGATTTCATGGATGAGAGGGAGTGGAATTGCAATGAAAAAAAAATGCCCATTATTTTGGAAATCTGCTAAACCAGGGTCCACTAAATCAAGTTTAATTGATCAGAAAATTTTTATGCAGTAATATGGTGGTAGTAACATATATGGGATCAACCAAATATCTGATTATTACATTTCAGACTGAAGAGGACAGGAAGAACCTGGCACGAATGCAGGAACTGATTGACAAGTTGCAGAGCAAAGTCAAGAGCTACAAGCGTCAGTTTGAGGAGGCAGTAAGTATGAATCTGCATAGGGATTCCAGCAGTTTAAAAAGCATCAGAATGCTAATTCTATTCAATTCCAGTTTCCTTTGGTTCTGTAATAACCCTTAATGGTCTATTTGTGTCTGTGTTACTCCTGTGCCATAACTGCAATTTAAAAATATAATTCCAAAACAACACTTTAGTAATTTGACTTCTCCAATGTACTTAGGAAGTCCATTTCCCTTGGTTCTACACAACCGTATCTCTCTAGATTACAGAGGCATTAGTTTCCCTACTACTACTGAAAATGTGCCAAATATTTTGTGTGCCTAAAACATTGTTTGTCAAAATTCCTCAGTCATTCAATCCAGTCAAGAATCTCTCCCATATCTGGCTCCACTACATCAAATTCCATCTTCTATTCATAGGAGCAACAAGCAAACTCCAACCTGGTCAAATACCGCAAAGTGCAGCATGAACTTGATGATGCTGAGGAACGAGCAGATATTGCAGAGACGCAAGTGAACAAGCTGCGTACTCGCACTAGGGAAGTTCCTCTGAAGGTGAGAACAATATTGCCTGAGGTAAAACATGGTAATTATCTCCCCATCAGTCTCATTCCTTAATGGATAAACTGTTGGGGAACAGATATTAGCTCTTTATTTGATGTGATAAGATTTCATTGGCTCCATTACTACTCAGCTGTAATCAATGTATAAATCAGGGAATAGGGAGATGGCTGAGACATAAAACATGACAAAGATTAATGTGTTCTGTTTTTGCTTGCTTAGTCAGACAAAAATAATTCTTTTTCTCTGTGTTCTCTGCATAAATACATAATGTATCACAGGCTGGATTTGAGCTTTCAAAATGTAATGTGTAATCAGAATACAATAATTATAAACATCATTGTATTCTGATGTGGAATATCCAAGCCACAAAGCAATGCAAAACACTTTTTACGAAAGAGGGAGCTGGGGCTCTGAGAAGTTATCTGTGGCAAATCAAATCTGAAAATAACTTTTATTATTATTAACAGCATGAAGAATAAGAAACTTCAGTGTAACATCTCTTCGATGAATATGGCTATGTAATGGCTGCAACAGTCATTTCTGACTCTGTAGTGAATAAAGTTTAATACTCATGATGGAAAGTGTGTAACTTCTTTTTTTTGAATATTCAACTGTAGAATGTCTTCCTATTAGGCTTTTTAAAAATGGAACTCACATCTTATTTACAAGACAAATCTCAAATTTGGAGAGTCTGACAGCATCTTTTGAGACTAGCATTATTTAAGGAATAAGTATTGCTAATATAAAGCATTTCATGACCTGCATAAAAAAAAATCATCTCAGGTGTAACCAGACTTTCAGAATCTGGCTATCACAGTCTAACACAACTCTCTTGCTACAGTGATGAACATTCAACAGTCTTGGAGAACTGCTACTCTATATAAATATCTGACTGATCTACCTTTTTACAAACAAGCTCAGACTGGAGTTTTTTGAATAATATTTCGTGAGACATGTTTTAAAATAGAATTCTTTATTCCATTTAATACATTTATGTGGTGTTAGTCAGTCAGTATTAATCTGGGCAGCATGAACATTAATTTGTGTGAAATAATTAAAATTTCCAGAAACATTTGCTGGCTAGGGGAGTCGCCTTTTTGCCACAAAACAGTTCCATTCCTTCAGCGATTTCCTTTTTTTTTTACAGCCACATATAAATGTGATTTGCCAGCTATTACTCCTCCACACATTTTATACTTAATCCAAGGCTATTGTAGTTTCCCATCATACACAAAGATGATCTACAGCAGTAGCTGTGGAAGAGAAACATGGCACTCATGTGTCCCTGTAAGGAACCAAAAGGCCAATAATATACCCTGAGCCAAAACCTCCAACCCAATTCTTTGGAATTGCCTATACTGAAAAGTCAGAAATAAATACACAGCATGATAGGTAAATCATCCTTGGAGTAGCTAAGTATTTTTGTTTTTTAGTGAGAGAAGTCTCACTGAAAGCCAAATTGATTAGTAAAAAGAAGGATGGTCATTCAAAGACAAGACATATGTATGAATTAATTAGATACTTAGAATTCATTTTTGTAGATGATGGCCATACTGTCCTGATGTTTCAGTTCTAATCAAAAGGAATCCACAGGCATTTGAGTCTTTATGTTTACTACAATTGCAGAGTTACTACAATGACCTAGGACTGAGGATGGGGATGTTGTAGAAGCAATTGACTCTCTCAAAATTTATCCCAAACTAAAATTCTTGAATGACATTCTCCAAAGGCATCAGATGTATAACAGAGTACAGGGCCACTGGGAAAGTCAGTTTAAACATATCTTTAAGAGGTTTCTTTAAAGCAAGATACATGATTTACTCCAAAGTTTCCATTTTATTTCTGACAAGCTGTAAAGGATAAAACAAAAGGGATAGCCTTAATAAAGTGCTGTTTTGTTCAGGTAATAGATTCACAATTAGATAATTACGGAGCAGTCAGGCTTTCTTGACAGGGCTCTTATTATAAAAAAAGTGGACGCTATCTTTGTCCCCAGTAAATACCTTAATAATTTTGTATGCAAATCAACCACCAGAGATCTATTATTTCTATTACTTTTGCCCCCAAATAAGGTGCAATAGCGTGTGCAGAGCAAATGTGAATGGGGGAATAGCTGATCAACTGTATCTTACTTTCAAATATTGTAGGTTTCATGGAGATGTCTTGCTATTATTACATTTCTAATTACATTTCTAATGGCCAATTCTAATAAAAATGTTATGCTTTGAAGGATAAATTTTAACAGAACACAACCAAGATATCTCCTTGAAATTTTTAAGTTGAGGCTTTTTAGGGATCTGTTTAAGATAAAATGTTATAAAATTATAAATGCATACATAAGAATAGTTGAAAGCTAAGGACAAAAAGGGCTGTTCTAATGCTTCATAAATTCCATAAAGTGCCTGAGCACAATGATGAAATGAAGCTTTTATTCCAAAAAAAGTTTCTGGAATCAAACACCAGCTGTCTTTCAACTAATGTGTTTAAACACTGGCAGTTACAACAGCAAGTTCAATATTTACTGAATAATTCACCCGATATGAAATACAAGTAAGTATCAGTAGTAGACTAGACAACTTCCAGTTACTATTACACATTAAGAACAATATATATTATATATATTGTTCTGGTTTGTGAGTGTGTGGGCACATACACATCAGAACGGATGGTGCTAATTCTTTCACTTTAGCTGGTGCCTCTGTTTCCAGAGTGCAAATTAGTACACCTTTCTGTTCAACAATAGGTTTAATATTCAGCAAAAGCAATACAGTACTGTGAAAGAAAATTCCATTTGCATTATGAACAAAATGGCCAGACTGCAGAATTTAGAAAAAAAATCCATAAATTTTTAATTTATTTGTTATCCTTCCCTTTTTTTGTCTATTAGATTTACAGATACAATCAAATGGAACAATAAAAAAAGAAAAAAAGGAGATGAAAAGGAGACCTGAAAGCATTGTAAAGTTAATTAAAATGTTTCAAAAATATTTTGATATAAATCTATATATTAGACTAATATTTAATCTTTATGATCTGTTAAATTCACATTTGTTAGATCAGGCAGAAATTATAGGATTTTTTAAATTTACAATTTGATTCATATTGGTTACTGTTAATTATTTCATAAAAAGCTAATTTTAATATTCTTAAAACTATACATAGATTTATATCAATGTCACGAGGAAATTTATTTAGTTAATTTTACAAAACCTGTAAATAAAATCTTTCCTTTGTGTTCTTTTTATTCTTTCTTGTTTTTCCCGTGATTGTATCTGAAAACCTAATAAACAAGCAAACAAACAAAAAAAGCCAGGGGAAAAAAGCCAACTACTTCCATCACTGCAATATATACCTGTTCTAGACAGCACTGTAAAAGTCCATTGAAGACAAATCCACAGACCAGAGAAAAATACTTTTGAATGCAATAATACAGTGAACCAAAGAAGAGAATGGGACAGTTTAGTACGAAACATTTCTAAAATCATTTGCAGAAAAAAGGACAAGCCATTATTTTTATGTATTTAAAAGTGAATTGCACACACGATCCTCTTGAAATGCAAAACAAAGAAAAAGATGTGAAGAATTAGGAATCAGCTTTTTATGATGACTTAATAGTGGCTGGTGTACCTTAGGTGTGCTCATAAAACCAGCTTGTTTCAATGACTTAGGGAATTACTTCTCCTTTTAACTTCTAATTTGGGTTACCAGAAAGAAAATCACAGCTAACCCTTGTATATTGGAAAGATCCCACCTCCCAAGCTCAAAGGCTTCTAGTCATAATGAGCAGGGGAAAGTGGACCTTTTTGCTGACAATTCCAAACAGTATGCAGATTTCCCTGAATATGTGATACGTTTCAAGTTTGTGAAATCTTGCTCTTTAAAGAGGGTGGTGGGGCAAGGGGAGAAAATACATTAAGATAGTAATATTCTAAGTTTGTGCACACAGCATATCCCTGAAAATCCAACGTCTGCAAGATTCCCTCTGAGGTATTGTCCACTGGAAGTGAGAACTGGTGGAATTACTCTTCGGTGAAGTCTCTGTCAATATCCATGTATGCCTCATCAATGTAGCTAATTATGGCACAAGGTGATGTCCGATCGGTACTAAGCAGAACAGACACAGTCTCTTTCCAATAGGAAAAACTAATACATGAACTCTATAAGGGGAAAAGAAAGAAAAATAAGCACAAACAAAACAAATGTTTCTGGAATATGGCTTGCTAGTACAAATGGGGTTCTATTTGGGGTTGCTCTTGAAAAGTATCTGGAAGCTTCATCTAGTTCAAAATATGGCAGCCCGCCTAGTTTTGTGCAAGTCTAGATTTGCACATGTAGGAATGGCATCTCTCTTGTAGGAACTGCATGGGTTGTTGATTTGCTTCTGGGACCAATTCAAGGTGCTGGTTATTACCTTTAAAGCCCTACATGGACGAGGGCGAGGTTATTTGAAGGGCTATATTTTTCCAGTTACATCTGGGGATAGTGGGGAAGCGGGATGTTTTACCCATCAGGATATAGTGGGGAAGCAGGATATTTTATAGGTCACCCCAGTTAAGGAGGTCTACCTGGTGGGGCCAAGAAAAGGACCATCATCCTGCAGAGATAAGACTGGCCCCCTTGATATTTTTCTGAAAGGCCCTGAAAACATTGGTTTGCCAACGGACCTGGGAACCCATCAAGTCATTTGTTTGAATGCTGTTGCCAGGAAAATGCGGGTGTCTCAGGTATTGTATTTGGTGTTTTTTTTCTGTAAAGCTGTCTGGAGTAACTGTGAGTGAACTGGGCAATCATCTAAATTTCCTAAATAAATATATACCATTAACATCTCATTGCTAGTATTTGAATATGCCACCAAATACTTTGAGTTGATGTTGTAGCACATATGCAATTCACCCCCCCCCCAACAGTAATGAAAAGTGCTCTGTAGAAATGTTTTGCTCCTTTTTGAAGGGAAGTGTTGAAGGATTATTTTGAGGTACAACAGACATAGGATGTGTTAATATATAACCCACCAAATTGATCTCTGTCCTCCAAAAGTCCATCAAAAATTGCCCTCAAAATTAATAATTTGCCATCACATTTTGGAGACTCAATCTTGATAGGTTCAGGTGTTACAGGAATTCATCAACAATTCATCACCCCACTCTTAACCTGATCTCCAAGAAAACAAGATGCTATATAGAATCCAGATCAAAAGAATTTCATGTACACATTAACTCAGGGATTGGGGCAGTGGGGTAGTTTAGAGCAATTTCAAGGAGATCTTTATTGACTAAATTTGTGCAATCAAAACTTCCTTTGGGCTTTGTTTCTTTTCTTACCTGTGGAGACCTACAGTGGGAAGCTGCAGTATTACTGTTCCTACCACATAAAATTTAATGCCTAAAAATGATACATATTTTGCTAAAATATAATCCCATGGGGAAAATGTTTTATTCAACCAGGTATAATAGAACTTCATTTATCATTTAAGATGCTGAAGACTTACAAATTTTGAGAACCCCTAAGTATAACTCATTCTGCATTAGGAATATATTACACCCAGATGATACAGAAATTGCCAAATAATTTGGTCCAGTTCAAATCAAATTGGCTAAAAATGGTTGAGAATATACAGGGTTACAAAAGAAAAATGAAGCAAGACTGAACTGAAACCCGGAAAGCTTGCTAGATTATCCTATGTATGCAGGTGATTAAATAAGAAATTATTTGCCTCATGCTTGGCAGCTTTTCTATTTTAGAATTAAGTAAAATATAATGCTTAATTTAATCTAAATGCTGCTTTAAATAACATCGGCTGATGTCATATTTTTTAGTTAGTTTATGTAACATTCTGGGCCAGGAAAAACTAATTCTGGTAGTGTATAAATTAAATACCAAAATCAAAATAAATTTGTTCATTTTACAGAACATATATGTTATATTAAATAATCAGGAAAGCTTAATTTTCTGGCCAATGAAAATCCTACATTATTTTTTGGATTCACCCATTTCATGTACGATATTTTATCTTCTTGTCAGCTTTCTCTGTCACAGAAAGACGGTCTTTTAGGTTTGACATTCCGAATGCAATATTGGTTTGAAATGGAAGAATAAAAAGTCCATCCTGGTAAGAATATCACAAACCAATGTCTTTGTCTAGCTCAGCGTTTCTCAACGTTTGTGTGACGGCGACCCCCGTCACACAAACGTGCCGCGCATGCGCAGCGCGGTGCGCCACCCCATGCGCAGCGCGCATGCGCAGCGCCGCCCCCTGAGGGGGGAAAATGGCGGATCGCATTGTTTGGCGACCCCCGTAAAATGGTCGGGCGACCCCCGTAAAATGGTCGATCGACCCCAAATGGGGTCGCGACCCATAGGTTGAGAACCGCTGGTCTAGCTGCACCGGAATATATATTTAGTCCAAGAGTTCAATTATCAGAATTCTCAATAAAGAATACATGAACAATATTCTCAAATATTTTGGAATTGTTTCTATCATACCATAATGCATTCTGAAATGTAGCTAGTATTAATAACCAACTTTGGTGGAAGACTGTTATTTGCTAATGCTGTTCACTGCACAACGTAACTTGTTCTTTCAGGCAGAAATGGATTGTCCCCTTGCAAAGAACACACAGACTGTAGAGATATTTTCTAATGAGGCAGCATTTTCCTATATTTAAAAGAATAAAACTATTTGTATTAAACACAAAATTTTATCTCTGATAATGCAGCAATTCTCTTTTTAAAAAGTCTGCAGTAAACATTCACTTGAATGTTCCTATAGTAATGCATTACCTGTTCAGTCTTACAAGCAAATAGAAACACTACAAAATAATGAGTGTTTTCCACTGTTGAAAGCTCAAACAGGATATCTTGTTTTTTTTTCACTTCTGTTTTATTCCATCAAAAGTTTTCTCTTCTCTTCCGCACCACAATTTTGAAACATAAATATTTGCAAGGAACCTAGGTTGCAGGCTTACATTTTCTAAACAGGTGCTGTCCTTGTCCTTATTGAGGTAATGCTGCTGCCAGAAACGAAGAAGACTATGAAAATTGTTCAGGATGAAACCAGGATATTTCTTTGTATATTCCATCTCTTGAAGGGTACGCAGATAGAATGGGAGCTTGTCTTTTCTTCGAGCTAACATTAAGATAACTAGACTTGTGTTCAGACAACTTACGTTTTCCTAAAGTTGAAAAAAGAATCAAGATGAGAAACCATATTGTTAGTTATTCTACAGAATCTAATCAACAAGGTATAAAATATCATTTTATGGATCAATATATACATATTATTCCTGAAATCCAATTGCCATATATTACCTGGGTCAGTGTTTGTACATGAATAATATTAATGAGTCGGAAAAGAAAGGACATTCTCATGGACATCTGTGACATGTATGATAAGAGGCAGCACTCAGACAAGACTTCTGCAACTACAAAAAAGAAAGTGTGTTAGATTTAAAGTGATAAGTCCTGAACAAGCTATAATTCTGAAGAGGAAAAAAAGCACTGCTAATATGACTTCCACTCATAACTTGTTGGAAAGATTGGTTGTAATTGAAGTGCTTTTCAGAATGTAACTTTGGTCTTTCAAAGAAAACCTGGCATTAGCCAATATGGTATCAATGTTGGGAATTGATGGTATTTAGGATAAGGGCTACTTATTTCCTATACAAACCTTGATCGCACAATGGCTAGTAAAATTGTTGGTTATATTGGAGTCTTTGCTTCAAGGAAGATACCGTTGTTCATCAGCATTTCAACAGATTAAACTACATTTATGAATAAAATGTGTTAATGATTTCAAGAGTATTTCCAGCAATGGCTACAGATAAGCTGCAAAAAGATATACTTGCACAGATTTTTAATGTTATTCCTTGGTTTCAAAACAATTATTTTACCTTTAATATCTGACTGGCTCTCAAATCGATCCAGGGACAAAGTAATACAACGAACCAACATGTTGGAATCAACCAGTGAACTGTTGATCTGATTCAAAAATATCTGAAACTAAAATATTGGAATCATTAGGCTCTATCAAGAGTACTATATACGAATAAATAAATAAACAAGTATAATACTAAAACCGTATAAAACGGATTCTAGAATTTTAGTTTTACCTTTTCCTCTGTATTGATGTACTTGTTAAATCTCTTGAAAGCGTCTATGTTGAATTTCATCAGTTCCCCCAGAAGATCAAAATAACTTTGAAGCACATCTCGTGATTTGCATTCACTGTCAACAATGCAGTACAGAATATGCTGGCAAGATTAAATGGACTGTTACTATAAGTTTAAGACATTACATTTTGTATTACAATAGAATACAATTATTAATATAGTAACATATTAAAATCAAACATTCACTTAACAACAAGATTTTTTTTTTGTTAACATACTACAAAAATATGTTTGGGAAATTATTAAATTTGGGAAATTATTAAAATTAATAATGTACACCTGTGCTTTCAAACATACAAAATCAGAATAAATTGCAAACATTCATATAGATTCTACATGTAACAACAGTTTTCTGGTAAAGTTTAAAAGTTAATTTCTTGAATACTGATGCTAAATTAAATTACCTCTAAAAGCCCCCTTTTTAGCAAGAACATCTGATCTGCATAGGAAGTAGCACCTCGTAAGAAACTTTCAACCGCCCTTGCTTGCCAAAATCTGGTAAAACAGAAGAAAATTAAGCACATGTTCCTTTTTTCTCCATTAAACACATAAATACAACAAAACAAAATTAACATTGTTATTCATGCTTAGCCGGGGTATATAATTCTTCTTTGGAGAGAAATAGGAAGAGGAAGAAGACCAATGAAAATACTTAATTTTTTAATCTTGGACAATTATGTGGAGAATAAATTTGCTCATTGTGTAACTGGAACTTTGCCATAGCAAAAAAGCATCAATTTTATCAGAATTAAAATGATATTTGTGCAACTTCTTACTAATAGAAATCATTAGAAAAAAATATAATAGCTACCACTGACTACATATATGGATCACTCTCTCTCTAGAACGTATTATTTTCGATCTAAGGCTCTGATAGCCAACATCTCTGGAGACTAAGCAACTTTTAATGCCATGGGCAAGGCTGAAACATTGCAGAGTAAAATAATAAAGTTACTATTTATTGCCATGAACTCAATTTAATTTTTTAATAGAGGATAATGAAATAAATTCTCTGCAGGCCCCAAGATGTAACAAGATGCAGGCCTCAAGATGTAGCAAGACCAGAACTCACCTGAATGACGATTCTGCTGGTTCTTTCTTCATTACCTGAAGAAGTCTGGTTAGCAAGCCTCTTTTCCCATCGCAAATTAAATTTCTAAAGTATAGGAAGGTGTTAAGTAAGTAAACCAATGGACTGCCGTGTGAAGCTATACAATTACTATTTAGCATACTTCTCTTCAATACTGTATATTGCCCAGTTTTATACAGAAAGTCAAGGTCCACATGTCAGATTTCACTTATATAGCTTTCACATTTGAACTGTATAATCTACAATATTTTTTCTATCTGAATTTTAAAAATTGATGCATTTAAAAAAATCAAGTCTGCAAGCAGAGTGGCATACATTTAAATTTAAGCTGCATTGTGTACCAGACTGCTGAATATTCATGAGAAAGTCATGGTAAAATGGACCACTATGCAAAGATTACTCCAGAAAACAGATTATGCAGAAAAATATGTATTCACAGTTTTCTACCTGTCTGTGTTGATAACAGCCTCAACCTCAGGGATGTTGGCTTTTAGAGAGATTGCGCTCAATTCATTAAGTTCTTGACTGTTTAAAAGTAGATACTTGTTCCTAATATGAACATTAGAACAGATACATGAACACCTCTATTAGCTTATGTAATGCATTATTTATTTGCTATTTCCAAAATTTACAGCATTTGCAACAATGTCAAGGTTTGGGATCAGACAGAGATGGTCAGTTTTATAAAAACAATATTAGGAGGTAAACATTGGCAACTATATTGAATAACCTCATAGACCATTCACAGTTTGGGACATTGAAGGTTCAGGGAATGGAATCAGTAACAATCAATGCATGAAAAAGATTGACAAGAACCCACAGAACCGATTGACACTGTGCATCTATCTATCTATCTATCTATCTATCTATCTATCTATCTATCTATCTATCTATCTATCTATCTATCTATCTATCTACCTACCTACCTACCTACCTACCTACCTACCTACCTACCTACAGATAAATAGATAGATAGAAGCATAACCATACCTTTTTCCTGACTAAACATCCTCTGATAAGTTCTACATATTACCATTTTTGGTTTTCTCTTCTTTTATTGCTACCCAAACACTTCCAATAGGATTTTTATGATTCAGCTCCTGGGTTTCTGTGCAGAGTTGTTGCTTTTATTTGTGCATAGTGTATCCCTCCTGTCTGTAGGGCCTCTCTTTTTTTTTATATGAGTGGTAACTTCCACTTTCTATGTGCTAATTATCTCATCAAGTTTTAATCATGTCTTCCTGATTTACAGTCTCCAGTTCTTCCTAGTTTTTTTTCTTGTACTTCATGCATTGTGGAAGAAATATCATACATTTTGAATAACACCACCTACTGGACTCTAATAGTTTCCCACAATCTCTGCAATGAGTACTGCAATGCTGAGCTCCTCAAGTCTCTTTTGATAAGGGCACAAGCTTGCAAATGCAGTAAATATAGTTCTGTCCTCTAGGCAGAAAAAATTGTTGCACAGATAACAATGCTTCTTTTATTGTCCTTACTGCTTGCAGCCTCAGTCACGGGCTCCCTGAAGCTGAGTTCCTATGTAAAACCTCCCACCAAACTCCTTTCTTCCTGATTTCTTTCACCAAACTCCTTTCCCTTATTTGCTCTTCCCGTTTTCTTGCTCAATGTAAGTTTTAAATATGTGACACGTATAAATGTTGTTCAAAGGTAATTACTATACATACAATTGACTATGTAGTTATTTTTGAGGAGCTTCTCACTATATTAAAAGTTAAATATTCACTGTTAAGCTAAATGGGCAGAGAAATTGCAATAAGGATCACAAACATATACTCACTCATGATGATCACTAAAACTCTGAAGTAGTCTCAAAAACTGAATCTTCAAGGTAATATCCTGCAGAAGGAAGGTTAATTACTTTTATAAATAAAGTGAATGAACTGCAATCATCAGCATCGTCAATTAGGCACTGCCCAACTCTGACAGAACTAAATACAATATGAATTAGGGGGGGAAAGCCAAGTTAAATAAATAAATAAAATTGAGAACAAGATATAGAAACCAGCTAAAAACATAGAAAAATACATAAATGAATTCTATTAATGAATTCAACAAGGAGCTCCAGCTGCTCTAGCCGAGGGTCTAGAAGAACAGCCAGGTCTTTAAGGCCCTCTGCCATTGGGGGAAGCCACCTGGCTCTTAGGGGGAACCTCATTCCAGAGAGCAGGGGACGGTAGAGATGAACTTTCTAGCTGCTACAAGATAGTTTGAACAAAAGCAATGTGCCAACTCTAATGGCTTCTATGAGCTAGGCAGAAATCATGGGAGAAGGCAGTCCTTCAGATAGCCATGTATGGTTCTCTAAGAAATAACCAGCCCCTTCAGTTGCATCTGGAAACAAACTGCTCGCCAATGCAACTTGCAGAGCAGGGCAGTCACCTACCACACCACAAACATCTTTCTGGTTGCTTTTACAAGCCACGATGGATCTGGTCCAACGAACAGGTAGTGGAACCAAAGTAGACAGAAAACCCTGTCTATTTTCTTAGGAGTCACCAGATCATACCACAAGATTGAGCACTGGGCATCTTGGCCACACATGCCACACGTGACCAGTAAGAAACCAGCTTAGAGAGGAGCTGAGCGATTGCAGTCATTATTACTATTAGTAATCAAAAATTACTATTTATTAATAAAAAATATCCCAAGGTTACATTTGGTATTATACACCTCAGTTTTCAATGGAATCTGCCTTTTTATCTCCAATATGACAGGATTCTCCCAAATCTGAAAATGGATTCTAGAGTGGATTTAAACTAGGTGGCACTCCTAAAGAAATGTTGCTAGCTAAGTAAGATCTTGAGGTGGTGATAAGGAAAATTACCAACTATCTGTGCTCATCCTAAATCATGAAAACACTTCTCCTATTTTCCATCCCTAAACTTTTCCATGACCTGGAAATCAAAGAGGACTGAGATTGGTTAGTACTTAGATGAAAGGCCTCCAGGGAATGCTAGAAAAGTGAGCTAGATTAATAAATAAAACAAAAGAAACAAATAAAAAATTCTAGAAGGCAATAGCAAACCATTTAGGTATGACCAAGAAACTATACTGATGTGGCCATTTATCACCATGACAAAACTCAACATAAAAGAGATATTTTTATAGTTTCAGCTTTTGTGACCTGACTAGGACAGTCATATGTTAATGCTATTTATGGCAAGCTTCTCACCAGGATAAACTAATACTCACCGGGCTACAGTCACAGTTCTGATTGTGCCCAGGCAAAACAAGGGCCGATGCCGAATGTTTCCGCCATATTAATTTATCAAATAAATTATTAAGGCCAGGGATCAGTCTAAATTCAGCAATCATTTTATGAACCTAAAGAAAAAGAGCATTCAGTTAATTCACCTTATCTATCACTTCAAATATTGGAAGGAAACAATATTTATCCCCCAACCTCTTAGCCTTTTGTAGAGCTCTAAAAACCTGGTCATGTTCCCAAGCCTGGGGTGGTGAAAGCGTTAAGGGCCCTGTTTCCTGGATTTATTGATAATTGGTCAAGTATCTTGGCTGCTCTGTATATTTATTTTGGATATTTTTTATTGTCTTAAAATTCTTTTTTGAAATGTAGTATATATATTTTTTGAATTAGAAGTTACCAGAATCACTGTTTGAAATGGACAGCTATGGAAATTGAATGAATGAATAATAAATTCACTGGATTAGGTGACTGGAAGCTAAAACATATAAGGAACGGTTGCTGGAATTGGGTATGTCTAGTTTAATGAAGAGAAGGACGAAGGGTGACATGATAGCAGTGTTCCAATATCTCAGGGGCTGCCACAAAGAAGAGGAAGTCAACCTATTCTCCAAAGTACCTGAAGGCAGGACAAGAAGCAATGGATGGAAACTAATCAAGGAGAGAAGCAACCTAGAACTAAGGAGAAATTTCCTGACAATTAGAACAATTAATCAGTGGAACAAATTGCCTCCAGAAGTTGTCAATGCTCCAAAAACTGGAAGTTTTTAAGAAGAGACTGGACAGCCATTTGTCTGAAATGGTACAGGGTTTCCTGCCTTAGCAAGGGGTTGGACTAGATGACCTCCAAGGTCCCTTCCAACTTTATCATCTTCATCATCATTATTATTATATAAATATCTTTCAGACATTACTGATTAAAAACAAATTAGTTATATGTCTTTAAGTGCATCTGGTATCATCTTAGTAAAAGGTATCATTCTAAGGTATATATAGTTGGTATTTTCCTATTAAAATATGATATTGGTACTTGATTTTGGAGGCATAAACTATTATCTAAATTCTATGGTTTTCAATGAGTAAATCCTTAATAGTAAAGGGATATTCTAATTTAGTGACAGCAAACCTTTTAGAGACTGAGTGCCCAAACTGCAACCCAAAACCCATTTATGCATCGTCAAGTGCCGGTTGGGCGTGGCTCATTGGGTGAGTGTGGCTGCGGTGGTAACGGCAGACTGGATGGGACTAAAAACTTCAATCAATCAATTCCAACTTTGCAAGATCTTTTTTTTTCCCGCGAGAAGTTGAAATTGACTGAATCTTTCTCTTTTTTTGCACACAGTGGTGGAGGCCTAAAGCGAAAAGATTTTATAAAACCCAGCTGAAAGCCTAGGACTGGGGCGACGGTGCGCGTGCCCACAGAGAGGGCTCTGAGTGCCGCCTTTGGACCTGTGCCATAGGTTTGCCACCACTGTTCTAATTCATGTTCTGTTTCTTTAACCAAAAGCCCTTTAACTAGTGGTTATGCAAGACACCTGACCTGACAGTGACTCAGAACATTTCTATTTTATTCCAGAGAATAAAATGTGCAGGTTTAAAAATAAGTACTTAAAAAAAGATCAACAGTGTCCTGAGAACTAAAATAAGTTTAGTTTTTAAAAGGTTGTAAGATTTTAAGAAACATTTGGAGAGAATATCTCAAAAAATGATAATAGCATTACCTGATTTCTTTGTCTTCCCATTAAAAGCACACAGAGCACATATAAAACTTCCAATTTATACATAATTTCATGCATAATTTTCATGGATTGAGGAAGCTGATTCCTCGTTGAGGTGTTGGCAAATCCACTCTCATCTGAAGATTCTAAGACAGAAAAATGCTCAATGTAGAGGTCTTCATAAGACATTACATCAACCTGTGTGAACTTCCTTTTATGAACTGTCCTGGATTCCATCCTCATTAATTGTCCAACTGTTAATGTGCTTGGGCTTCTTTCTCTGGAGTGTGATTTAAGTTCTTCCTTACTGGTAATAGCTTTGTTCTTCCCCAGCTGCAGTACTTGAGAAAGACTCTTATTCTAAGGGGTAACTGTGTGCTTTAATAGTTATACTGTTGGAATAGAACTGGGGAGATCCAGGTTCAAGGCCATCCTTGGATATGGAAACCTACTGAGTGAGTTTCAGCAACTTAGTCCCTCTCAGCCAAACCTATCGCACAAGTCTGTGTTATGGGAATAAAGTGAAGGAAAATCCCTACAGAAGTCAACTTGGGTACTTGGAGAAAAGATAAACTATAAATGTAACTAATAACTAAATGTAAACAATGGCAGCAGCAGTGATATGCTGAGCAGCTTTGGGTGTAAAGGAGGAAAGATTACACAATGGCAATGGAAGAAAAAGAAACCTTGCCTAAACTTAAACTGAAATGACTGAATAGCAAAAAGCTATTAAAAACCATTCCACCTTACTATATGATTAGAACAATGTCAGTTAAAATGTTTAAATGTGGTGGCCTAGGGGTACTAATTTCAGGATAGACCCTTTAAGGAACTGCAGATTAAGAAATGGCTGTTTTAGCGTGTGCTGAATACCTGTACTACTTTGCTCTGTTTCTTCATCTGCCACACGCATTAGTGCATCAAGAACTAAAGCGTTGTCTAGCCAGGTGTACCACTCCTCCAGCTCTTGAAGAAAACTGGAAGTTCCTGTTGTTTCTGATACTTTTCGGGTTGCTAGTTTACATAGTCGTTCAATGAAACCTGGTATATTGAGAAGGGTAGCTAGGAAAAGAGGCAAAGAGAACCACATTAAATAGTAAATTATTGAAAAACCTACGAATTATTTTAGCTAACCTAATTAATATTCTCATCTTAAATAAAAGAACATTATAGAATTTGAGTAGCTAGGACATTTCTTTTAGCAAGCAAGCAAAAAAGTGAAAACTTTAAGGTGAATTTAAATGAATAATTATGCTCTTAAATTCCTCTGGGGAGATAATTTTCATTCCCCTTCCACCAAATGCTCCTGATACGCCCCTTGGACTACATTTGTAGACTCCTAGCACTCTGATATCATACTAATGACATTTGGTAGAAAAATAGTTGATTTTTTTATTTTCTATTTAGAATTAGAAAGCAGGAGGTACCTAATTGACAAAACATTCCACATCCACTTGTGCCCCTCCCCAAAATAGCTCCAGCAAAATTTGATGATTCTGCCACTGAATTTCTACAGCACTATTTTGAGCTGGGAGAATGGAAGTACAGAATTAAGACAGAAATGGAAATATCTGCCTTCCAGAAGCTTCTCTCTCCCACTCTCATTCTTAAAAGTAAAAAAACAGTCCCACCCTTTAACTGAGTCATTGCATGACTTCCTACAATTCTCAAAAAGTTCAGATGGTTGAGTTGTGCCTGCTGACTCCTTACAGATTACTTATTTCTACAATATGCACACTTGCAAATTTGAAAAAAGCACATAATTCTTTCCAGCTTTTCTATTTTCTTGAGTGTTCTTGTTTGGAATATTTTACAATGAAAGGAAACATTTTACCTTGATTTATTTCGGCTCGAGAAGGACCCAAATTTTTTTTCTGTTGAGCATTTTTAGCAAGTAGTGTGTGTTTATCATCACTGCCAGTGTCAAGCTCTGAAATTGTAACAGCAAGGATCCTGCAGAAGTTTGCTAGTTGCTGTTGGTCAAAACTGGAGACAAGATTGGCGAGATTTGGAATATCCTCCAACTGGATCATTTCCTAAAAGGAGGCAATTCACATGTTAATTGCTAACATTTCTTACATTCTAGTAATTAACCATTATGAATAATTTAACAACATTTAAACAAATTGCTTTCAGTACATGGAATCTTTTTCAGTTTCAGGTGAAGCATATTAGAAACTCTACAAAATTCCTTAAAAAGGTATCAGGTGTGCCTAGTTCAAATCATGCTACTGTAATCTTTGAAAATTTAGCACTATCCATCCCCTTTTACCACAGCTGTCATAGCATGAGTAGAGTCTCTATGTGTTACCAAGCAAAAGAGATGCCCATGGCAACTCAGTGATTGTAGGGAAGACTCTCAACCTCATAGTTCAGTCTTATTTCCTGTCCTATTTAATGTCTGCATGAATATCTGCTGGGAGAAGTCATGTAGTAATTTAAGGTGAGGCATCCTCAATATACCAATGATACATACCCTGGTGGTGCAGTGGTTAAAGTGCAGTGTTGCAGGCAAAATCTGCTCACAGCCTGGAGTTCGATCCTGACGGGGCTCAAAGTTGACTCAGCCTTCATCCTTCCAAGGTCGGTAAAATAAGGACCCAGATTGTTGGGGGCAATATGCAAAATAATGCTTTACATTGTAAACTGCCAGAGAGTGCTGTAAAGCACTATGGGGCAGCATATAAGCCAAAATGCTATTGCTATCACTATTCGGTAGTCAGCCCAGGCCAGCTGAAGGTGCTACAAAAATCTTGTCTTAGTACCCAGAGGCTCTTAGAATCTGGATGAGAGAAAACAGGGTAGCTGTTCCCTGAGACAGTTGCTTTTGCCCATCACAGACCACCATCCGCCATCGCGAGATTATCTCTCAAGGAGATAGCATTGCTCCTGAGGAAGCAAACCTACGATTTGGAGATCCTCCTCAAATGACAGCTACTAATGGAAAGGAAACTAAAGGCTACAGCCAGGAGGTCCTTTGATCAGGTCCTTTACCTTGCATCCCAACTGCAACCCGACCTGGAGTTGCAGAACTAGTTGAGAAACTAATACAGGTAGTCCTTGAGTTATGAAAGCATTTGGGACCAGGACTGCCATCATCAAGCCGTCTGGTTGTAAAGTGCAATGTCACATGACCGCATCATTTAACTATGGTGATCCAGGCAGTCCTGGTTGTCACTGTAACCCAAGACATGCATGTTCTTAAACAGAAAGCGGAGGGAGTCCCAGGTGAGGAGCACGAGGGTGCCACAGGGAAGTGCAAGAGGCCTGGGAAACACAGGTCACCAGCGAGTTGGGGTGATGCTACAATGTGACATGAGGTCAGGGAGAAACGGAGAAAAAGAGGGCACAGGTGTATGTTTGTATGCAAGAGCAGGAAGGCCCAGGAAAAGAGGGCACTGGTAGGTGCAAGTAAGTGATATGAAGGAGTGTGTGCTGCATGCAACAAACGAATGCTGGGGGGGGGGGGAGATGACACTTACCTAAGTGACTTGTGATCTTCCTTGTTGGCTTACCCATTGATTTTGCTTATGCAAAGCTGGTAGAGAAGGTCAGTAATCATATGACTGGGGGATGTTGCAAATAGCTGTAAGTGCAAGCTAGTTGCCAAGTATCCAAATTTTGTTCACGTGACTGTGCAGTGCATAAATGGCTGGAACTTTGAGGGTTAGTCCCTTTGTTCAGTGCTACTGTAACTTCGAAGAGATGCTGAATGAATGGTAATAACTCAAGGACCACCTATATCACTATCATAATTTGCTTGGGCTATTGCCAAGCATTCTACATGATGCTGCCTTTGAAGGCCATCAGAAAATTCAACTGTTTAAATTTTGAATGTGGTTGCCAAGAAGGATGATTTTTCTCAGCTAATTCATTAGTACATGAGTGAAGGATCCAAATTTTTTTCCAAAATTAATTGTCCCATGCCTATATAAACTATTAATAGTTTCAAAGGATTATTGACAAACCTTTTTCACTCCAAGAATGTCTTCAATAAGAGTGGCTGTTTGCAGGAATGTCTTTTTATTTGTCATCAGTGTAAACAAGAACAGCACAAAATCATTTCTTTCTGCCAATCGTTTAGTGACTCCTTCGGTCTACAAAATTAAGAAAGTATTCATCCCAATTATTTATTGGCAATATCTCTGAATAAAAATCCACAATAGTATTCCTCAATTGACAATTCTTACAAGTATATTAAGGAGGAAAATAAATATATAGTAAAAACAAATAATGAAAGTCTGTTTCTGGACTCTAATGAAGCTGTTCTGGATGACTGAATGGAAAAAGGGACTCATTGATAGATTATGCTGTACATTTGTTTAAACTCTTCAGCCCTAGGTTGAAACTGATAAGAGCTTTTCAGTAGGATTGATGTTATAAATCTAATTCCCCAAATATCTTCTCATATTTGTTTTGGAGGATTCCCTAAAGCTCTAAGGCCTATATTATTTTGTGTGTGTGTATTTTTAGCAGAATGACAATACTGTATATAGTCCAATATTTTTGCCGATAATGCTGATCATGTTGATATTAAGAATAGTTAGATAATTGATATTATTATTGTTATTATTTTATCTACTATCCCATCTTTTTGTATATGGGGCATTGAAGGCAGCAACATCAACATAAAATAAATACCTAAAAGACTAGCTTCAACTGCAAATGCCTGATTGAAGAGGAAGGTCTTGATTCCTTTCCTAAAAAGTGGACCATTTAGGGAATGCTGTAAAGCACTGTGAAGCGGTATATAAGTCTAAGTGCTATTGCTATTGATGGAATAGATTCCATAGCTTGGGAACACAGGAAAGTATCAAAAGCAGTCCAAAAACAATCACGGTAATGTATTTTTAAACTTATTTGATGGAAAATAATTTTCAATCCGGAATAAAAATATAGAAAATACCAATGAATTTCTTATTACTAAACTCTTAATAGTCCTACAATTAATCACATACCAACAAATCCTCTTTAAAAGACAAAATTGAGATAAAATGCAGCTGACAACGTGTTTATATTATATTATGTGAAATTCTATGTTTTATTTTTTTTAAAAGTAGGTAATGTTTTTAGGTAAAGTAAAACAAAAACTTGTTAGAAAATTGAATATGACTTACACATATGCAGGAATTGTACAATATGCTTAAACAGTCCTTGATAAGGTCATCACTTACTGTAAAACATAATATTCTAATTAATGCTTTTTTCAAATACAGTATCTGAAGGTCACACATTCTGCCTATATTTCAAGGTATGTTACATTATATCATAAATACAAAGAATGCTGATGAAAACAGCAGGTATTTTAGCTGTTAAAATCCATTAAACCTAGGGTTAATGGTATCAGTGGGGAGGATTATAAGTAAATGGCTAACAATCTACCATCAGTCTTCCATCTCAATGGTAATTCCAGGATTATTATTATGGTGCCTACTTTTATGCATTTTATATATCAGACCCCCCCTTAAAAAAACAACTATATTGCTTTATCCATGCTTATCCCTTCATAATGATGCTCTACACCAAAGGTCCCCAACCTTTTGGGCACCCGGGACCGGTGCCGTGGAGAAATGTTTTTCCCTGGACCAGAGGGGCTGTGGGTTTGCATACTGCCTGCATCCTGTGGGTGGGGCTTTGCTTGTTTGTGCGGCCTGGTTGTTGGCATGCTGCGGATCGGTGCTGGTCCACAGACTGGAGGTTGGGGACCACTGCTTTACACATATATTTGTATTTTTTAAAAAAATATTAGTTTGTTAATTCTTAATAGATAGAATAAAAATAATTTCTCTAAAAGTAAAAACAAATTTAATGAAAGCTGAATGTAGAATTAGAGGTACTAATTTAAATCCACATAGCAAATATGAGGCATGTTTTAAATGATTGGTTAATGTTTCCATAGTGAGTAAACTATAATTTATCTTGCAACTACTGCTACCAAACCTCCACTGAATAAAAAAGTATTTATGACAGAGACATGACTTCTACTTACTCTTTTGTTTCTTCTTCTGTGTAATAAATGTTGGCCTCATAAGTATTTCTACCAGAAGCTGTGAATAAGATAATTACTTTATTTACTTTAACAAAATAGTACAACAATTATTTGAATAGCAACTTCAATTGATTTTAAGCAAATTCTTCTTTTTTGTTGCGCACACAAAACGTCTATTCAACTACATGGTAGCACCTGTTTGATCCCCCAAAAATAAGAAAGGCAAGGTAAACTTGGTTAATATTTCGATAGGAGACCCTCAGCAGACCCTGGGTTTATAACTAGTGTGGGAAACTTAAAACATTCCCAAATTCGATGGCAATCCCCTTCTGCATTTTTGCCAGACAAATAGTTATATGTCTGTACAATCATCAGCTTGATTTGAACAAGACTTTACCTTACTTTACAAAACAAGTACCAACAAAGAGGAAAAATAACAGCTCTCAAAAGAAAACAGCATGGCTGCATAAAGAACTCTCTGACAAATTGAAAGATAAAAAGGACAAGTATAGAAAGTGGAAACAGGGGCACATAACTAAGTCAGAATATCAACAAATAGCCCGAGCCTGCAAAGATGAAGCGAGGAAAACTAAGGCTCAAAATGAACTAAGGCTTGCAACCAAAGTCAAAAATAACAAAAAGTCAACATGTAAAAAACAAGAAAAAAGTGAAGGAAATGATTGGTCCATTAATGGGGGAAAGTGGCAAGAAGGTGACAAGGAACAGGGAGAAAGCAGAACTATTTAACTCGTTTTTTGCATCTGCCTTTACACAATGGGAAAAAACAGATCAACCTACAAAAAATAGTGCCATAAAAACAGAATAGAAACGCATGTTAAGATAGGCAAGAAATTGGTAAGTGAGCACCTGTCCAGCCTAGATGAGTTCAAATCACCAGGACCAGATGGATTACACCCCAGGGTTCTCAAGGAACTGACAGATGTGATCTTAGAACCATTGAACTATATTTTTCAAAGATCCTGGAGCACTGGGGAACTACCGGAGGACTGGAAAAGAGCTGATGTAAGGTTCTACATCTACAAAAAAGGGAAAAAAATGGACCCAGGAAATTACAGACCTATCAGCCTGAACTTGATACCTGGGAAGATTCTGGAAAAGATAATCAAACAACGAATCAGCGAACACCTAGAGGCAAACAAAGTAATTACTAAAAGCCAACATGGGTTTGTCAAAAATAGATCATGCCAGACAAACCTTATTGCATTCTTTGACCAAGTGACAAAATTAGTGGATCAGATTTACTTGGATTTCAGTAAGGCATTTGATAAAGTAGATTACAACCTACTACTTGATAAGATAGAAAAATGTGGGTTAGACAGCATCACCACCAGATGGATCCGTAGCTGGCTGACCGGCCGTACTCAGCGTGTGGTCCTCAATGGAACTGCATCTATATGGAGGGAAGTGTATATGGGGTGCCCCAGGGCTCTGTTCTGGGCCCAGTGCTCTTCAACATCCCCATCAACGATTTGGACGAGGGGATAGATGGGGAACTCATCAAATTTGCAGATGACACCAAGCTGGCAGGAATAGCCAACACTCCAGAAGACAGGCTTAGGATAAGGAGGATCTGGACAGACTTGAACACTGGGAGCTATCTAACAAAATGAAATTCAATGGTGAAAAAAGTAAGGTTCTACATCTAGGCAAGAAAAAACAAATGTACAGGTATGATATAGGGGGTACCTTGCTCAATAGTAATAACTGTGAGAGGGACCTCGGAGTTCTAGTGGACAATCACTTAAATATGAGCCAGCAGTGTGCTACAGCTGCCAAAAAGGCCAACACAGTGCTGGGCTGCATTAACAGAGAGATAGAATTAAGATCACATGAAGTATTAATATCACTTTACAATGCCTTGGTAAGGCCACACTTGGAATACTAGATCCAGTTTTGGTCACCACGATGTAAAAAAGATGTTGAGACTCTAGAAAGAGTACAGAGAAGAGCAACAAAGATGATTAGGGGACTGGAGGCTAAAGCATATAAGGAAAGGTTGCTGGAATTGGGTATGTCTAGTTTAATGAAGAGAAGGATGAGGGGGGACATGATAGCAGTGTTCCAATATCTCAGGGGCTGCCACAAAGAAGAGGGAGTCAAGCTATTTTCCAAGGAGCCTGAAGGCAGGACAAGAAGCAACGGATGGAAACTAATCAAGGAGAGAAGCAACCTAGAACTAAGGAGAAACTTCCTGACAGTTAGAACAATTAACCAGTGGAACAACCTGCCTCTAGAAGCGGTGAATGCTCCAACACTGGAAGTTTTTAAGAAGAGACTGGACAGCCATTTGTCTGAAATGGTACAGCGTTTCCTGCCTTAGCAAGGGGTTGGACTAGATGACCTCCAAGGTCCCTTCTAAATTTATTATTATCTAATGCCCAAACTTTACAATGATCTCTTCGTAAAATTTACCATGTTTTAATAGGATATCTCTCTAATGTTTAGGCTCATATTTAAATACACAAGTTTTTGGCTTTGTGCTCTCTCTTCTAATACAGAAGATATAAGAAGATGATAGAAGATGTTCTGAAGTAACTAATGTTTCCTATTATGCCTGGTCAGGTCCAGCTAGGTTTAAGGTTGACTAAACTAAAAAAAAAACAAACCAACTTCAAACTCTAGTCAATAATCTTTATCCATTTCAGTAAATTGTATTGTAATTTTGTGTGGGGTTAAAAAATAATATTTTGACAACCACTTGGCATTAGAATCAGAGAAATGTAGATATTCTATGTTGTGTACCTCTTTCCTCTGTCAGAACAGGTAAATAAAATAGTAACCTTCTTTTCACATCCCAATTTGGAATTATAATTATTGGCTATCAAACCAGCTAATTTTAAATCATGTAACTCTGGTTAGCTATGGCCTCTTAATGTGCTCCATTATGACCACATACACATTTAACAAGAAATACTGCTCTATTTTAAATACTTTTAAACTACATGTAATACAAAATAATTGCTGAATATATACATCCTAAATATGTTGTGCTAGTTATCTGGGGAAAAAAATCTCATTGCCTCCAAATTAGGCATTAAATGGAATTTGCTTTTATTACATTGTCAGTTTTTAGATAAGACCCGGCTACACAAGAGCCTGGACTGGTGAGAAGCACAGATTTGTTGCTTGTTATATGAAAGCTATTAAGAGAAATATAGGTACTTCCACCTTTATAAAACATATTGCTGCATTTTTCAGGAATTATATTATCCTCTCTTCTCTATCAACCTTAAATTCAGCTTTACTTCTTCAGTTCAAACCAATTAAAAAAATCATTGTAAATTTGTATTTAATGAGATTAAATATGCTGTTTCCCAAGCTCTGACTTGTACTAAATTTATGGATGGTTTTTAATTGAGTCTGTCTGAGGCTATTATAATCATAAAACAGTTTGTCATCTTCTATTAACATGAAATTATATTTAAAATTGAACATATGATTACAATAGGTATAATAAAAACGATATATGTCACAGCTAATCAGTTGTATTCTACTGACTAGAGACAAATTGCATATACTTCCCGATACTCTATACTGTAACCGTTCCACAATTTCAGTTTCTGAGCTGGATCACCCCTTTGCTAGCACTGAAAAATGGTTTCCCCAGAAGCCAACCAAACCCAGATAGCTGGTTGACAAACTACATTAGAAATTAATGAACTCATGTTGGAACAAACATTATTTGCTTGAATAAGAGGCAATGACATTGGGTGATTAGGTGATACCAGAAGGCTGGTGACATGGAGAAGATGTAAAAAGAAATATTTAAGTTATGTTCAAGAACTCCAGTTACTTGAATAACTATATCAGAGATACTTTGCTAAAAGTACTATCCTACTTTATTTTAGATTTGTTATGATGGGACAAAATATCCTAGAGAATAATATTCAAACTGCATCAGGTAGCATAAACTACAAGCATCTTGTGCAACTTTAAATATTCTTGCCTATTTTTATTAATGATTTTCACTCTTCTCAGATTTTGCACTATATAATCTCACTGGCTTTTAAACATATGTTCTTCTTTCCAAGAAACATTTCATAAGAACCAACTCTTTCCTTGTAGTTCAAAAGATCACCAAAGCATAGTAAAATTACAAAATATTCATCTTTATTACCCCATGGCCTCCTACTCTTTTTATATATGCAATATATATATTATACTGTTTAAATTTTAATCTTTCCTCTTCTAAGCTAAAAGATAGATGTTGTCCAAATTACTATTTCTCAGATGATGAGTCTTCACTTCCTGCCTTGAACATTTATCAAAGTTTCTCTACCATGGATTAGAATGTCACAGCATTTGAGAACCTGTTTCTGTATTGAAGGCAAAACTGACTCAGAGTATCACTTACATCAACACCTCCAAATAGGTCAAATGTATATGTATTTGGAAAAGTAGACTCTTGTGCAGTTTTTCTTTCTTCTGTGACAAACGCCATGGCTTCCATTGAAAGGAGGGGAGAAATTTCCTGACAGAAACAAAAACAAAATTTTATTATAGTTATGATAGATTTATATATTAAATTACAGAAGTTATTGAGAGAATAATACTTTTAAATATTAATCATTTTCAGAGCAACAGTTTACAGCTGTTCTCAACCTTGGCAGCTTTCAGAGTGTGGATTTCAACTCCCAGAACTGTAAATGTATAGCATGTATATGTATCATGTTGTCTGGGGAATTCTGGAAGTCCACACAACTTAAAGTTGCCAAGATTGAGAAACACTGGATTATAACATCAAAAAGCCAATATTTAAATTGATCCTTTTTAACTGCTCCACAAACTTTGTATGGCATTGCTCAAAATAATGCTTATTCATATGAAAAATGCAGTTCAATAAAAGTACATATAATGGTTTCATATTAAGCAAAGACCCTCCCCTCCAGTATCTAAACTAGTGATCAGTAACCAAGAAATAGATCTTGGGGTTATCATAAACAGTCCAATACAAATGTTCACGTAATGTGCACTTGCTGTGAATTTTATCAAAACAATTAAAAGGCTACAACAGAGCTGAAAAAGGCAGAGAAAGTGACAGACAAAATGTTCTAATACTATCTTGTAAAAAAAGGCCTAATGCTCAGAAATTGCTAGAATTGAAATGTTACAACTCTGCATAATTAGGGTTTGAAGAAAATGGACATGATGTGATTTTAATAATGTAGAACAAAATTTATTAAATTACATTTCATATATGGACATACCTACATACATATAAAGGGGCATGATAACAAAATCACTTTAGATATGCTAATTATCAGAAAAGTTTAAGTTGCTTGTATAGCAGTGATAGCCTGGACTAGTCAGCATCATCTCTATTACCAATGTTGTTTGAAACATTTTCACCATGAAGAATAGCTAAATAAAAATGAGGAATGTTTAGTTCGTGAAAAACAACTAAATAAAATAATATGTGGTATGAACAGAGCAGTATAAGTTGGGACATTATGCTAACATCATACATACATAATATGCTACAAATTAAACATTAAAAATTACACAGTAACGTTTGATGTTTAATCCACATATTCTACATATGTAAGTATTATACAAAATTTCAATTTTATTGTACAGTGAATTACATAATAAGTTACTAATACCGTTTATGATTGGCTTGTGATTAAGAACAGAGTTAACACAGTGATGTTTGATTGAAAATGGGCAATAAACTTACCTTTAAGATGCTCTGGCACTGAGAAAAATCACTATTAGCATGGCTAGTCTCATAGAGCTTTTGTAAGAGCAAAGGAATTCCATTCCACTTTGCTTGTTTGTCTCTTTCTTTTAACAAAGCTCCTGTGATCTGCAAGATAGAGTTTCAGATTCCATATATTTTATCCTTAAAAAATACTTATTACAGTGCTTCCAGAGTATTTAAATTGATCGCTTCTTCAGTTTTTCACTGCACCAGAAATTAATGCCAATTTCCCCTCATTAAAATTTGGAGTTCCAAACATATACAGTATTTAACACAGCAGAAACACAAAATTAGTCCAATAACTTTGAAAGACAAATCACATTGAAGATACTTGCAACATACATTGCACTTTCAGTTCTTTGGCATATGGATCCTTGTTTCATATATCAATTCATCTAAATTCCAAATATTATTGATTTCTTTTTCTTGGAAATAAATTCAGATGTATGGTTATAAAAAAAGCATTTTGTCTTATAACCACTCTACACTGAAAGGTGATGGGAATATTAGCTATAGCATTAGAATTTTCATTAAATGATAATTTGAAGAATTATTTTTCTTTTTCAAATTTATAATCAAGAAATGCATACAACTATTGAAAACATTTTAGACAGTAAAATCAATATGTCAGTAGCAGATGATTCTTATACTATTTATTGGGTTTTATTTATGTATCTGTCAATTTCCCCATCACTTCACTTTTTTCATCAAAGTAACTGTAGCTTATAGAAGACAATATAACAATTTGATGTTTAGGCAAGAGTAGGTAGTCACCAAAGAAAGTAACAGAAAGTAATCCTTCCTTTATTTGCTGAGATAAATTAGGAAGCTATCATTTCTTCTATCATAATGTGATCATTTCAGCCATTTGGGAAATATTGGTTTATTGCATCAGTTACTAAACACCTATAAAATCCATTCTTTGTTTGTTAGAAAACTAAATAAAGAAATGTAACTAAGACTAAACAAATATAACAAACAAGGTCAGAGAAAGTACTTGAAAGTATTTTTGTAGTTCACTATATTAAAACAGCAAATTCCACATTTGCAAGATAATATGATACGTTTAACAGTTTCACAAGGTCCACTTCAAACAGAACTCTTCCATCCACCCGCTACTTATACCTTAAATATGCACGTACCATTTCCCTCTCTTAGGACAGGGTTTATATTTAGACTTTAAAGTCAACCATTATTTCAGAAGCTTTTTTGAGCTTCAGGATTGTTTCAATTATATCAGCCTCATATTTGAAAGCTTTTATTTTCTATTCTTAATGATATTGTTCATTTCAATGCGTCTCAGCAGTTTCTGATCACAAGCACAGTATATTTCTTAAGTTTATTTTCTATCTACTCAGAGAAGGAATAACTGCAGGGATTTTTCTTCACAAAGGACATTTCCTTCCCACTATAAAGTGCATGAGCCATTTAATGCAAGGATTCCTTTTCTGAAGCTTAATAAAATTTTATAAAAATAAATAAATGGAAAATCCAATTTTGCACAAACAGAACATAAATGCCCATTTAACATTATCAACTTTCTTCCAGATATTCTGGCAGAATTCCTATTTTCATCTGCCTTTGAACTCCCTTTCTTTGCATGTTTTCTTTGTAATTTTGCTAGCTTTCTTGCATTTGCAAAATATTTTGGACATAATACTTATCTACAAAACACAATTAAAAAGTATAATAAATAAATGTTTCTTTACAAACCTTTCTCCCCTCCCCAGAAAAGCAGTACGAACTTTGATTCCAGTATCTCAAAACCATGGTCCTTACTGATGCAAAATACCTCTATGCAATATTTTGTAACACTATGCAATACCTCACTTTAAAAATGGTTGTAAGCCCTCAACAATAGAGCTTTATCCCTGCGCTGGCAAGATAAAGTCCACTGGCTGAGGGTTTGTTCTGTAAACTGTACGTGGTTTTCTTGGGACAAAGAAAATTCTACAACGTTCAGTATGCACAAAAGTTTTATTTTTTAAAAAAGGCACTTTATCCATCTGGTGAACAGGAAGGAAATGACAAAAGCATATATGAAAAAGGTAATATGAGATTGGCAGGTGCTATATTTGGGTAGGGAAAATTATTTGTTTATTGTGCTTCTGTTCAATTAATACCAACCTTGAATGGCTTAAATATTTTTTTTGTAAATAAGGTTAAAATATACAATAATAATTATACAATTATAATGCAATACAGGTAGTCTTTGACTTATGATCATAACTGAGCCCAAAATTATGATTGTAAGTCATGCCAATCATTAAGTGGGTCACCATGTGATCAAGCCCAATTTTACCTCCTATTTTGTGGCAGTCTTATTAAGCCAATGCTGCAGCCCTTAAGCAAATCCCCAGAGTCAATATAGATAGTAAGATAGGCAGCACATCAATTTAATAAATAGTCTGCAATGGGCATTTTTTTTGCCAGAAACTGGAAGTAAAATCCAATTCTGGCAAAAAAAAGTCATAAACTGCAATTATGTAACTATGGGATGCTGCAAACATCCATAAATGCAAGCCGGTTACCAAGTGATCAAAATTTGATTACATGACTTTGGGAGGAACCAACTGTTGGAAATACAGGTTGCAAGTAGCCCTGGGGTAGTTTGTCATATTTTTAAACAATCGGAAGTCAAGGACTAACTATAATACAGAAAAAACTTAACACCAGAGATCAATAAAACAAATCACTAAAGGTAAATTAACAAATAAAATAGCTCAACTTCAATCAACCCTCAGGTGATCAGAGGGTATAGTTCGCATTACTTCTGCCTCTAATTTTTCTGGCTGGCAGAAAAAGCCAAGTTTTAATGGCATCTCTAAAACCCAGCAGGGTCCATATACAGTAAATCCAAAGAGAATGTTGTTCCAAATAAGGGCAGGGATCGAAAAGACTATCTCTGGAGCCTTCAAATTATCAAGTCTCGACTTCCGTCTCGACTTCCGGTTCGTCACACAGTCGCCATGGACGGTTGGGAGACTTGCTCTCTCTCCCCCGTTCAGTTTCGCATCGCTGTGGGGTCCTGAAAAGGGCCAAAAGTCGCCCCGAAGAGGTGACCAGTAAAGAGGGGCTCTTGCTGGATCCCAGGAGAGCAGCAACTCTTCCGTCAGACCAGGCGATCCCTCCAAACTGGCGAATGAAAGGACCGGCCATAGAAATATGGCTCGTCCCTAGGCTGCAAACAGCTGAAGTCACACTACCATCTGGCAACTTCAAAGCAGCGTGGACAGAACTGGGTGAGGTTTGCCTCTCTTACATCCTAACTACTTAATTGCCTGCATAAGCTGCTAAGGTATTTTCCCCCCTGTGGTGAGGGGATTCTAGCCTTCCCTCCAGAAACAGCAGCTATCAACCACTTGGGAGTTTAAAACGTTGGAAAAATACTGAGATCTTAATTGGAATCCTATTTCCTAAAACTGGTGGATTATAAGATTTGCAATTTTCTGCTCTCTCTCTCTATATATATTTCTTCCTTGATTTTTATTTTAATTACTATTGAAGATTTGGTTTTTTTCCCCCCTTAAAATAGAGTGGAAAAAAAAATCCTAAAAAGATCCAGCTAACTCTAAGACGTAACCTGCTATTCTCTAAGAGACTTGTTGATAGCTTTGAACATAGACAAGATAAAAAAATAACCTTGAAACACCATCTGCAAAATTCAGCTCAGCTCCCTATTTGGTGGACTTTCTGACTGTCAGTTTCTTTCTCTTGAGCTTAATATATTACAATGGAAGGAGAACAGGAAAGGATTTCTTCTACAGAGGAAGTACAGGAACAAATTCTTTGTATGTTAAAAGCCACGATCCAAACTCTATGTATGCAAGCTCTGGATATGCAAACTCAAACTATGACTTCAATCAAAGAATTATCTATACAGAATTCTATAGAGAAAGTGAAACAACCAAATGTTAGGACAGAAGACTTAGATACTCAACAAATACAGAAAATAGAAAACACAAAAAAGAAATTGATAATAGAGAACAAGAAAAGGGTGTTTCTTATAAACCAGAAGGAATTTGAAGATAAACAAGAAAAACAGATGAAAGAGAAGATAAATACTTTGGGACAACTGCATTGAACTGGAAAAATAAAGAGACTACTGGCTAAATCAAGTCCTCTTAAGAAAACATCAACTGGACATTCTTTTTTTTTATTGAAAGTTTTTTAAATTTTACAAAACAAATTCCCTCCCCAAACCCCCCCACCCTCCCATACCCTCCCCCACCTCCCCAAACCTCCCAAACCCTCCCCCAACCTTCCCAGAGCTGAGTACAGGCTTAATTAAAATTTTTCAGAAAAAGAAAAGAAAAACTTAAAACACATATAAATCCTAAACAAATCTAAATACATTAAATTAAATAGGTTATCTTCTCTAAAATAATAATAATTGCAATCATTAAACACATTATAATATACTCTAAACATTTTCTAGTATCATACTTATATTATTATCCATCATTCTGTATAAACTCCCTCCAAAACACAAATTTAAACAGTACTTTCTTTGAATATCTATACCTACAATATAAAATCTAATCTCTCCCTCTTTCTTTATCCTAGAACACAAAAATAAACATATAAACCTTCATTATACCATTAAAACTAAATACTCTTTATCTAAGATTTTCATTCAATCTCCATAATCTCTCCTATCAAAAAAAAACTTAAAAGACATATAAATCCTAAACAAATCTAGGTACATTTAATTAAACAAATTATCTTCTCTTAAAAATAATAATAATAATAAAAAAACAAACCCAATCATTAAACACATTATAATATACTCTGAACCTTTTCATATCATACTTATGTTATTATCCATCATTCTTTATAAACTCCCTCCAAAACACAAATTTGAACATTATTTAAAACATTAGAATTCCCTTATACACATTTAAATCTTTACCAATAACAAATTCCATCCACAATAAACACATTCCTTATCAGTCTCTCTTGTCCATAAACCATTAAAATTCCCTTATACACATTTAAATCTTTACCAATAACAAATTCCATTCACAATAAACACATTCCTCATCAGTCTCTCTTGTCCATAAACCTCAAAAGAAGTGCTTTGAAAACTGCCCTTAAAGCTAACT